AGGGTCAATATCATGCACAGTCTGCACAATTCTGTTCATGTAACAGTGGGAGCGTTTGAGGAATGTGTCCTAAGAAGGACTGTCGTACACTGATGGTATTTGGCACCCAGTCACCATGAATGTAAGCACTTGTCATAACTAAGTGCTAACATTCACAGTCAGTGCTTCAGTGTTGTGTAACATGTGTTTTATTGCAGGAATGACACCAAGAGACAAAGTAATTCTACTTTTATGTAAAGTCATATTTCTGGTTTTACTGCTCCGGGAGTTGCAGTGTCAAAGTCTGACATTCATGAAAACTCGCAACTTTTACTTCAAAGGCGAGCTGCCTCTGTTTCCTCCTTCGACCTCCTGGACTCAATTTTTATTCTTCAAGTTGGGGTAATGGAACAAGCTGACGGTTTAGTGTGCGGAATTGCGTTGCACTTGTTCATTCAATGCGACGACAACACAAAGCGTTGACCACGTTTAGGCAGCGTCGGCCATCGAAGAAGGAACTCACACGTAGCAGATTGCATCGGCATCATTAGCACAAGTAGGCCAATGAGATTAGGCAATACTCTCTAATCTGACATTGTTCATTCTGCAACGTGAACAATGTCAGATAAATTAGACTTCATGCACAAACCTCTAAACAGGTGTTTTTTTGTCAGTACACCAAGCTAAACTGTATTTTATCCCTTTGGACAATCAAACTTTGTTAAAATCACCTGGATTTGAACATGAAGATACCCTGGCATGTTAAATGATGCTTCAATTCATATTGTGCAGCTGTGTAGTGTGACACCTATTGAAATCAGCTGTGCAGGGGGGCATACTTAAGTGATAAACTATCTAATTTATTTAACATTTCAACAAAGAAAGGTAGGTCTGCAGGGAGTAATGATTTAGTTGGATGTGCTTATGCGTGTGTTAAGTGCTGTGTGTTTTCCTGCACCATGTGCGCGGCCCCATACGATTAATATTTAATATAAGTAGGTTTGTTGTGGTGACTCGGCATGTTTGCTTGTCGGACACTGGGTGCACAACAACCAATTCTGTATAGCTCTGGAAAAGAGTTGAGGCCATGCGAAAGGATCATTTAGGTCTTTCCTGTGAGATCAAATGTCTAAAGATATTTGTACAACCTCAAATGTACACTGTGTGTCTTTTTTTATCAGCATTTAAAAAGCAAACATCAAAAATATCAAGAGCAAAGTACAAGAAAATCTGCTGCAGAGTGAAAGACAAGAGAACGTGGAATGAAAACAGTATTTCTGCTGTGTTGGCTTGTCAGGCAGCCAAAACAGCTTCGTAATCACGTGATGTTATTGTCACGGTGGGGCGAAAAGGCTCAAAGGACCCAAATGCACTGGGAGCAGAAGGATGATAAACAGTGATTTTAATAAACAAATATCCAAAACAAAACGTACAAAGCAGGGGAGTCCAAAAAACGAGTAAGTGAAAATCCGACAGGACATGTGCACAAGGGATAATAACAGGAACATAGCAGACAAACCAACACATTGAACACAGGGTTTAAACACACTGAGGAGGTGTAGGTGATTAGACACAGGTGGATTCAATCAGGGGCACAGCAGACAATTACTATGGCTGGAAAACATACAAAGGCAGGAAGTGAAGTGAACACGGGATGTGGCGGGGAACTGCAAAATAAAACGGGAAACAAATTTATCCAAAACCAAGATTGTGACAGTTATCAGCTAATTCAAAATCTCTTTATTCTATAGAGGACTTGTACACATCAAAGTCTGTTTACAGGTGAAGGTGACTACTACTGGATATGTGAAACATGTGTGAATTCGCAATAGCTGCAACCAGTAGGAAACCAGTAAGAAAGACAACGCACCCAAATCTCAGACCAAAGTGTCGGCCGCTGAATTGCATTGTGGGTAATCTAGGTGCTAGGTTTTGACGATTCAGCAGGTACAATGGCATGAAAGAAACACTGTGGAAACTTTCTCGCTACTGTCAGTGTCTGCATTGGGAGAGTCTTCACATGCATTTTTATTGACAGTACAGTTCGTCTGTAAAAACTGGGGAGCAGGTTAACAGGCTACTGTGGGCCGTCATGCTGCAGTCAGATGGTCCCCACTCATTGGCTGAGTCAAAGGCGTGTTAGCTATAATCGAGGGCAGAGGTGATGAGGTCAACGAGTCAACGACTGCCACAGCGTTATCAGACACAAGTGAACAAGCGATACGAAGAAAACTCGACCCAAACAGAGGGTGGTTGACCTCGAAGGAAGTCATAATGCACACCAACGCTGACGGCTGTCATCCCACAGTGTCAACGCGAAACAACAATTCAAGGTCTGGCGACGTCAGGCTGTATGTTGTGATGAAGGATCTCCATGTTTTGGCTGGTGTCAGACTTTGACACGCTTCTGTTGGGACCCCATTGGGTCTGGATTCACCTGCGTAGTCCTGATGTAAACCAAGGCAAGGTTCAATAATGGGCTTGTGAATTGCGTAATGACCTTTGGTAGATATGTTTTACTATTGTTCCTTTTAGAATATGTCATTTTTTATGAGAGGAATTATATGATTCTTGTGTTAGTAAAACATTTTTTTTTAAAAGGGGGTGGCGTGTTATGTGATCTTTGTCAGTGACCAATTGGATTTGCATCAACATTGACACTTGTTTTGTTCTTATGTAAGTCTCCCGGTCTCTGTGTCCCTGCAAGCTCTGCTGTCCTGTCGGGGTGGAACGGTACACAAAATCCACCGTTCGGTGTGTACCTTGGTTTTGGGGTCACAGTTTGGTACAGCTGGGAAAACAAAAACATTATTGTAATGCTTATTACATTTATTTGATGGATTAAATAAAGTTGTCAAAACCGGTTCAAACTAGAAAGGTGCACTCAGAGTTCAGATCTTCTCCAGGCGATTGAATGAATACAAACCACAATTGGACAACCCCCCTGTCTGGACACCAATGGCCTGTAAGGCGTCATAAAACACCCTTAATTCAAACTCAAAAATATTAACCAAGCTGAGTTGCAGCGACGTACTCAGCAGTGTGTGTAGTGGTTGTTCTCTCAGCATTTAGCGGTTAGCCAAACACACCGTTAGCTGGGTTATCATTAGCCACATCTGCCGGTTGGGGACAGCAGTCAGCAGGAAGTCAATGGCAATATAAAACAGGCAATAAAAGTTGTTTTGAGAAAGTGTGAGTCATCACAACCTCATGAGGTCCTTGAGCATGCAAGGATGTTTGCTGCAGCAGAAGGCCAGATCAGCAGAGGACAGACACCGAGATGCATAGTCGTTCACAGACGCACGCACACACACCACCGATCGCATGATTCTCCTGGCGGAGATAGTCATTTTAATATTTTTCATATATCCTATGGAAGAAACACAACATGATCATCATATAAAATAATTAAAATCAGTTCCACTATGATCAGCTAACATTAAAGTGCTGCTTACATGTAAATGCAAAAATCATAAAAGGGCCATTCTGGGTACTTTTATAATATTGATATTTTGACTTAAGTAAAGGATCTGAACACGTCTTCCATCACTGCCAGAATGTACGAGTGTGTGTGTGTGTGTTTTCTGCCATGTCACAATTCCGTCGCTTCCTTAATGTGTGTCCATCTGAATGTCTCGCTCCGTTTCACATTTATCTATGGCACATCGATCACAGGACATTCAGTCCAGATGACAATCCTCGTGATTGTGAGTGTGTACGACTGGAAAAATGCCCCGTGAGAACAATGTGGAGCATCAATGAGCCAATAAAAATGTTTATTTTTTTACGACTTCTGTAATTTTCCTCATTTACAACACACACGCGGTCTGTACAAGGTGTGCCGACGAACAATCGAGTCTTACAGGCAACAATAGTAAAACCACACATCGTGATGCAATCTAATGACAAAATGTCTTAAACACAAAAAGGTCCACAACTATTGGTGTATGGTGTTAATGAAGTTTCTCTACAGGATGGATCCATCACATCCTTGTTGGTGTGTTTCAAAGCTATTCCCTTAATTTTGCTTTTAATGAAGCATTTGCAGCTCGGCATTCAGATAATTTGGCCCCTTTGGAGCAGTGTTAGCTCACGTTACTCTGAAAAGTCACAAATCAAAGTGACGAAAGCCAGACGTCAACAAGGTACAACACATTTCTAAAGCTCTGTTCCATGAGGTTTTTTACATTGCATGTAAATTCTACCGCTCAGTTGAAAGTGTCGCAATCCTTCAAGACACAAAAATTCTGAACACATTCCAGCTCAGAAAATGTCCACACACACAAATAGAACACACACTAAAAAGTATGACTAACTGCTTCATTGCATTTTGCCGTTGGAAATCCTCAAATGATCCCTTTTGGGAATCTGAACAGCAGCCGAGTTCAGCAATTGCTTATCAGTTCATACATGTAATAAAAGCTCACGCTTCCTGAGAACTTCATACAGCTTTTTTTGTGTTTTTCAGAGCACGTGAAAGCAGCAGTTGAATAATTATTCAACATCAAAAGTCATATTTGCGACCGCTTTCTTATAATGTTTCTAGAAAAGGACTGAAAGCATGCAGGTCTGAAAGCATGCAGCATATACCGCATATACCCTATATAATGTAATATAATGTAATGAAGAGAGCAGGAGCAACAATGTGATGTTTATGAATAAAAACCTGAGTCATGCTGAGAATGCAGTGTTGATCAATAAGTGGCAGACCGATTATTGCTGAATGTGGTGTTGCAACCATTTGCTGTTGATAATAATGATAATAGTGGAGAACAGGATGTGTAGAGAGGATGTAAAACGCTGCTGCTAGGAAAGGAGAGTGGAAGGGGGGGGGGGGGCTGTCGAGCGGGACAGACATATGCCCTTGTCTATTTTGAAGGTGTGTCGTCCCAGCCAATGAGGCGGCAGCATCCACGTACGCCATATTGAGCAGCAGAGGGCGGGCGGGGAGAGAGGGGGGGGGGTCTCTGTGCCTATAATAAACCCAGCGACTGAGCCTTTTCTCCACAGACAAGAGAGAGCTGAAGACTTTAACACGTCTCCAAACAGAAAGAAGCTAAATAGAAGAACTTCTTTTTTTGTGTATAATATCTTTTATTCTAAAACAGCTGGACTTAGTTTCAACGTTTTTTTGCTTCTTTGGAACTTGATTTCTTTTTTTTTTTTGCAAAAAAAAGTGCACATTTACTTATTTAATTTCTTCCCATCGACACTTGTTGAATCGTTCGCGATGTTTCCAGAGGCAAACAAAGGGTGAGTACTCTTCTGAACAGTACTTTCAGCTGTCCTCTTCCCATGCTGCCGAGCACATGACCCCTTCATGGGCAGGCCGAGGCCGTGGGTAAAAAATATACCGGCGAATGTTTGGCATGCCAAAAAGCGCACATGCTCTGTGGGCAGCAAAGGTTTAAAAGAAAAGCCATTCATGTATTGCTGTGGGAGTACTACATGGTGTCTTTTACACTTAATATGGACTTTATAGCTGATTTACTGATTAGTAATATCAATATCATATATTACAGCCTGTCCTGTGGCAGTAGATTGTTAATAAAGCACTTCAGGACCTGCTTTGTCACAGTATGTCTATTTATAGCACAGTCTTGTGTATCCATTGTTCCATGCTTGAGTGGGAGTGGAAGCAGTCATATGAGAGGAATTACACAAATTGTCAAATTGAAGGAATTAGTGTGTTAAAAGAGAAAAAAAAAGTGTGCGTTCATGTCACCATTGAAGTGCATGAGAGGAGTTGACTGCAGGAATGTGTGTGTGTGTGTCTTCAAGTCATATATTTATTAGTAGCAGTTCTCCGATCAGGCCGGCTGCCCAGAAAAAGCCTCTTATCCTGTGATGTGACTATATTGACCACATCACATGCTACCTAATGAATCGGGAGGCAAAGAGACGTTAATGAGGTCTCTAATAACAGCTGACATTTTTTTGCAGTCAACCTGACCCCAGAATCTCTTTTCATGTCATCCAGCTACAGCTACGAGGACTGCAAGGCCACCGCCGATTGGCTGATGGCCCAGACAGACGTCCGACCCACAGTGGGCATCGTGTGCGGCTCGGGGCTCGGAGGGCTGGCTGACATGTTGAAGGACCAGGTTGCCTTCAACTACAAGGACATCCCCAACTTCTCACAGAGCACCGGTGAGTTTAGCCACAAAAAACCTCTCAGTTGCTGACTGGTTTCCCATTTACTGTTCGTATTCACTGACCGGTTTGCGTTTTGTTTTTCCCTGCAGTGCACGGACACGCAGGTCGGCTGGTATTCGGCACCTTAAAGGGGAGGCCATGTGTTTGCATGCAGGGGCGCTTCCATTTGTATGAGGGCTACCCAATCCAGAAGGTGTGTGTTAGTGTGTGTGCTGCAATGAGTTTTACAGTGCATTTGAACCCTTGAAAATTGCCATGAAACGTGTGGCCTTTAAAGAATGCTGTCATCCTTTAAACCAAAGTGCCCTTTGAATGTTTATATAACGTCTAGATACGGCGTGTGTTTCCAGATCACACTGCCTATACGCATCTTCAAGCTGCTCGGTGTGGAGACGGTGATGCTGACCAACGCAGCCGGAGGCCTCAATCAGGACTTCAAAGTGGGAGACATCATGATCATCAAAGACCACCTCAACATGCCGGGCTTCGCTGGCAACAATCCGTTGTCTGGACCCAACGACGAGAGGTAGGATGGGTTTTTCCGCATACGTTGTAGTTTTGGTGATTGTTTAAAGAAAACATGGTTTTCGATCCCACCAGGCGGGTTTTGGTGTTCAGAAGGTCGGCGGGTCGGCATAACTAGGCCCGTTAAACCCGACATTCAGCAACATCACCCTCGGGTCTCCTCCTCTCGCTGAACCTAACCACCTGTCCCTCTCTGTCTCCCTCTCTGGCAGGTTCGGAGTGCGTTTCCCCTGCATGTCCGACGCCTACGACAGAGAGCTGCAGCAGATGGCCATGGACGTGGGACAGGAGCTCGGCTACAGAGACTTCCTGAAGGAGGGCGTCTACTGCGTGCTGGGCGGACCCTCGTTCGAGACGATTGCCGAGTGCCGCATGCTGCACAAACTGGGCGCCGATGCCGTTGGTATGTACCCTTTAAAGCAGCCTTTTTTTCTGCCCATATTTAATTCTTGTGTCAGAAGAAATCAAAACTATAAAGCTTAATGCTCATTTCTAAACCAAAGCTATTATTTCTAAGTTGTAAAAACAAGCATCTTGTATTCATCCCTTTCAAATCCAACCTGGTATATTTTATATTCATCCCCGATGTCTTATTTTTGAATGTCCTCTTTTCCTCGACAGGCATGAGCACAGTCCACGAGGTGATCATCGCGCGCCACTGCGGCATGCGCGTCTTCGCCCTGTCGTTGATCACCAACCAGGCGGTGATGGACTACGACAGCGAGGAGAAGGCCAACCACGAGGAGGTCCTTCAGACGGGCAAGCAGCGAGCTCAGCAGCTGGAGCGGCTGGTTTCCACCATGGTGACCAAGATCGAGCACAACAACAACAACTACGTCTAAGAGACAGACGCTAGATGTTAGCCTTTTTGGTGTGACTGAGGGAGACGGAACGTGGTTTATATTGAATGCTACTGTGCCAAAGAAAACCGCCATTAATTTATTATTTAAGTGAGCAGTCGGGCTGTTTTGAGTCTGAGGTCAAAAGATGATAGTATAGTAGTCCTCCGAAGAATCTCACTTAGATTTATACAGAAAATACACCTTTGTTTTCGTGTCACTGCTTTTTCCTGACGTCTTACATTCCTCTAGCGAAGAAAACCCTTTTTTTTTTGTATCATTCTAAACGAGACGTGTTTGTTCTAACTTAAAACGCGAGATCAACTTGTGTAAATGTCGGTGATTTAACTTAACACTGAGCAAAAAAAATCTGCTGTAAAGTTCTTGATATGATGTTGTTGAAATGTGTACATTAGTGGACTTAATATATTTGACAGTGCTTGTTTTTTTCATATGAATGTTACTAAAAGGTACTATTTATTACTACATCAACTTTGTTTGTGTTGTTCTTTGGGGTGTGGAAGGGAGCCATTTTAAAATCATCACAAGCATAAAAATAAATATATAAACATAAATTGAGACTCGTGAAATATCCCTGTGTTTATTTGCAAAGTATTGGAGTTTTACAGAGATGCTACACAGTAGAGATCCGAGGGGACCCTGAATGTGACCATTGTAAACATTTGGTAATGTTACGAAAGCATTATGCTGCACAAACTGAAGACATGAATGCTGGCATTGTCAGACTAATACATCAATGTGAGGGTTCGGGCTGTCGCTTCTTTTGATTCAATGTTTCCAATTAATTTTCTCCATTTACAAAAACACAAAAATAATTGGCAGAACAAACTATTTTGGCATTCGAAAACACTTTGATAAGTAAAATGATAACAGTTCACATGTGGATCCTCCCCTTTTCCCCCCTCCAAAGGCGACACGTTATTTTGCAACACAACTCTTCGAATAAAAAATAAAAACACTTGCTCCCGTGGTTGAACAGAAATCAGGCAGGCAGACAATATATCACATTTCACACTGCATGCTCACAACATATCCATCCATCTTGCATAATAGTTTTCCTTCACCTAAAGTATTGGCGACATTAAACAAGGCTGATGTATCCCTTTTATTTAAACCCAATATGACATCCATTTCAAACCATATTATAAAATTATTCTTTTGTCATATTTTGCAAAAAAACAGTCATGCATAATGATAAGCTAAAGAGGATTAAAAGAAACGTAACTCAACACATTCTCTACGATACAGCGCGACACCGTCGTCTGCGCACCGCACGGCCCAGTGAAGCTTCGTGAGTGGACTCTTGATGCCGACGTGAAAGCAAAGTTTGGCATGAGATGTAAACAGAAAGTGCCCGGCAAGGCAAATAAAAGGCAGAGTAGAGATACATATTCCGCGTATTCTTTATGCGCTGAATGTGTGGCGTTCAAGAGCAAGCTCCACATCGACCACATCTGGCACCCAAGGCCGTGAAAGCCGACAGCAGGCTTCAAACCTTTACTGAGAAGAGCATTGATTGTCCTCAAGTACATTAACTCTTGGTGGACGCGCCCACAGGATTGTTTTCGCTTATCAATGAATTGATTTCATCAAAAAATCTGTCAAAATGTATTATTTTTCCCCTCTGAGGATGAATGTAGCTATCCTTAGTGCTCACTATGTGTAAATCATTAAGTAGAGTATTGGTGATTGCTCATTTTCAAAACATAACCACCAGTTAAAAGGAACAGTGTGCAGCATTTAATGGGATCTATTAGCAGAAATGGAATATGACATTATTAAGTATGTTTTTTTTTTAGTGTGCAATCGCCTGAAAATAGCAATCGTTGTGTTTTCGTCACCCTAGAATGAGCCGTTTATATTACTATTACGGAGCCGTCCGCCACATTGCTACGGTAGCCCAGAACGGACAAACCGAACACTGGCTCTAAATCCTGCTAAAGGAAAAGAACGAATGCGTAATTAAAACACATTTTTCACCTCAATTTATCAATGCGTTTCATGTGTTTATTAATATATTGTTTATTAGGCAATTCATTAATGTATTTGGATTCTTAACCCATTCATTTACTTTCTTATTAAACTAGGTTTGGTCCCCTACAATGACAGCTAAGATAACTTTAATAAAATTATATTATTTTTGTTTTTTGCTGACTACAAAAATTGGGGATTTTTTTTGTCTCCACCGACTGAAATTTAAAAAATAAGTTTATTTCTGCCCCGAGGGTATCGCTGCCTCAAACAAATATTTGTATAGCTAAAAAATTTTTTTTTTTAAATAAAACACTAAAAGACCGCCAGGCTACGAGAAGTGAGCGTCCCTCTGTTGGAAAAAAAGAAATTAAACACAAAGCATTGGCACATGTTTTAAAATGTAGGCACCATATAGACGAGATTTACAGTCTTGTAGCGTCAGAGGACCTCGGCGGCGAGAGGAAGGAACTGGCGGAGAAAGAAGGCACTTCCGAAACAACACATACTGGGCCTGGAGCTGCAGTGGGACGCTGTGCGACATTTACAGAGGGGTCCGCTCATCCCTAGGCAAACATGGTCAGGGTGATCCACTGTAGAACACAGAGAGCGCGGGAATTAGAGGGGGGGGGGGGAGCGAAGTGGGAACAAATCGCATGCACAGAATGTAGTGGTGTGGTAGCATCTCTGCTCGTGTGTGGCCATACCTGATGGAAGTTGAGAGACATGAAACCGTCTTTATCCGTGTCCATGGTGTGGAAGGTTTCTGCAGAAACAAGAATTTCAACTTATGTTCTGTACTGTGTGTCATTCATTTGCAATTAGAAATGGTAATGTTTGATCCGACTTTTTTCCTGGTAAAGTAGGGTGACAACAAGTCTTCTTTTCTTTTTAACAAAACACCTGACGAGTGGGTGAACTGTTCCTTTGAAGACATTGAGGTTGCGCAGTAACGGGACTCACTGAACATGGTCTCCAGCCGGACCAGACAGGTGACAAAGTTGTCGAAGTCGACAGCCATGTCGGCCTCCGTGTAGCGCAGGATGATCAGCTGGAACAGTTGGTTGGTCAGCTTGAAACCTGAGGGGAGAGACGACAAAAGGGACAATCAGACCACAAGTTTTACAAAACAGAACTCAAACATGTGAAAATGCTTCTGACTCTTGTGTTTGTCTTTCCCGTCTCTTGTAATTGAAATGAGAAGGAACATTACCCGCAGATTCAAGAGCCATCCTCATCTCATAGGAGCTCATGGTGCCCGATTTGTCCAAGTCAAACTGCCTGAATATGGTCTGTCATGGCGACAGGAAGGCAGTACAAGCAAACAAGATGTTCTCATGTCAAAATAAACAACAGAATGACGCAAGTTCCACGAAGCAGAATCAATATTATTTTAGCTTGATTTCCAAATGTGACCCGTCTCACCAGGTAGCGTTTAACCTTTTCCCAGAGGACGTGGAACTCCGTCAGGCCCAACTTTCCGCTGCCGTCCGTCTGAGCCGAGAGCTTAAGGAGCAACAGTGACTTTCATCTGATCAACAACAACAAGCAGACAATTTCAAAGGGGAACTGATTTTACAAGTCTGTTTACAGGTCATTGGGGAGTACGTGTGAAGAATCATCTCTGCTTGAGGCCCCGAGGCTACGTCAGCTGCTACATCACAATGATTTAAAAGTGTAACGCTAAATCAGTGCTCTTTTATTATGATTCTTGTAAAAATTATAATTGTTATTATATTTAATACATAATGTGTCATTATTGTTATTATTTTTTTAGAATTATTATCATCTTTAACATTACATATTTTTGCTCTTTTAATGTTTAAGTTTTTATTATTTATTTATTCAATTTTAAGGATACGTCCATGAGGCTTATCATACTGCGACAAGCTTCTTTTGTGAAGCCGTCCGTCTTCAGGTCTTTATCTGTTAGTGTGACAAGGTACGACAACAAGAGAGAAGAACAGCAAATGTAACACTCCATATTAAAAGCATTTTAAATACTTGTTAAACAAATTCCATCATTTAGGAGCAAGCATGTAATTCCAGAGCGATTAACTGTTACACACGTTTGCTGATGATCCTGTTCAGTATGGTCTGCAGCTCTGTGAGGCTGATCTCCATGTCCTGTTGGCACAAACAGAGACGGTCAAATCATGTTAATACGACTGTGTGTGTGTGTGTGTGTGTGTGTGTGTGTGTGTGCCATGAACCATTTCTCCAGCAGTGCTTACCGGCCCTGCCAGCTGTCTGAAGAGATTTTTGAAGGCGGCGTCGATCTGGCTCTCGTCCAGCTCGGTCTGAAACACAAACGGAAAGATTTTTTCAGCACACGTTTGCTTTTATCTCCACACATCATTAGCAGTCAGGTCTTGAAGCTGTTTCATTCCCTCACCTCTACTGGAAGCTCTGCTGTAACGTCGTCATCGAGCTCCCTGACGTGGAAAGAACAAAGATTTAAAGTTATTTATATTGTTCACTTTTATCATAAAGTATTTCTTTATGCATTTATGCAGTTTCTTTCTCTTTCTAATTTGTCTTTAACTGCTCATTCATCCAATTCATCCAAGAAAAGACATTACTACACTGTGCTTTTTGGTTTCGCAAGAATGGTTATGAAAATAGAATAATTGCTTATTTCCACTCAGTTTCTCCCCCAAACATCACATTCCGTTACAGCCACTCACTCTGAGTCGGCGGGCTTCTCGGAGAAAACTCTGAGGACAAAGTCGGCCTCTTTGTGCGCCTCGTAGGTGGAGGGGACGATGATGTATTCCCCGGCCGGCAGCCGCAACCGCGAGCTGACCTCCCTCAGGTTGATGAAGAGCTCCGAGCGAGCGCTGGAGCCGTGGGTGAGGAAGAAGTCTCTCTTCAGGTGGACGCCTGACCTGCCCGCAAACTGAGAGGGGAGAGAGAGAGAGTTCAGTAAATCCTTTAAAGGGTTTGGTACTTTGGACATTTATTAACCTTAAATCGCCTCCTGGTTGTTCTTGAATCACAAAGAAAAGAGGAAGAAAAGTAAAACTCATACCTCATCTGGAACCTGTAAAAGACGGAGAGAGAGAGAGAAAGAGAGAGAGATGAGATTATTGCCATGATATGTGTGATCAGAAACAACAAAAGACAGGAAATAAACTAGAAAGTGAAGATTGTTCGGCTCTACAAAATAGAAGAAGAATCTGGGAATCCTGAAACTAGTTTTCCACTGCAGGACGTAGCTAAACAAAGGTGCTGATGTTGTTTCCACTTTTCTCTGTTGGCCTGCAGCTCACCTCATAGAGGGCAAACCCGATGGTCTCCATGTCTTTGCCCTCGTGCCGCTTCTTCCGGCGGTCCTTCTGCATGAGGCCAACCAGGAAGCTGCATTCTGATTGGCCGGGAGTGTCCGGGTGCTGCAGCACAATCTTGAACTGAGGGTTCAGCCAAAAGGTTGCTGGGAAGAAGAATTGCAAACTGTCATTTGATATTCAGTAATCCATTGTTGAGATGGTGTTTTTCTTATCAGTAGTCCCTCCTTCTATACCTCCTTGTTTGTTTCTTTATTAAATATTTTTATCCCCCAAAAATTCCCAAAAGCAGAAGGCGTATTCATTGTCTGGAAAGGAAAACGACACCCTTGTGTGATCCTTAAACTGGTTTGGTCTGAATTAATCTCCAAAATGAAATGAAAAGAAGATCCTCTATCGTGTATCATGCCTCCGTTTCTTCCGCCCATCCATCTGCTCCCTCACAGTTCATACCTGGGAAGTTCCTGCAGCCTCCGGCAGTGCTGCCCCTCCTCCACTCTCCCTGATAGATCGAGGAGCTCCACATCTTCAGCTGGCTGTTCTCCAAGGCGTCGGCCGTGAGGTTGCAGAGCTCCAGGCGAGTGAACTCGCGCAGGAAGTCTTTGTACGACATCCTGAAAGAGACGGAAATCGATGCACTTAGTTTGGACAAAGTTAGATTTTTCCATCGCGAAAGTGCAAGAGTTTGAACCCTGTTTGAAAAACGATGCCGACGGTTCAAACATACGCCGTCTGCCGCTGAGATCATCCGTATATCAAACAGACGTTACAAAGGGAAGGAGAAGTCGGAGAAACATTCTAGTGTTAGAAGTGCGTTGTCTTTGGGGTGTCCGATCATATTTACAGCTTGGTTGGCTCATTGGTGTGATAGTGTGAGTTTGAGGGGGTTAGAAATAATTTCATGACATGTAAATGGAAGCAAATAGGCACAAAAGTTGGCAAATGTAACCGTTAAAAAGCTGATTTTTTCCGGCGAGATTTCACACAAGTAATGACGAGAGTCCACAGGCACAAGGAGACTCACCAGAATTCACCGTCGTCGCTGCGGTTTTGTAGCCGACCTCTGACGGAGCGATCCACACTGTCCCACTCTCTGGAGCTGAGGATTCCACAAAGAACAAACATCAACTACGCAGCATGTTTTCTGTAAATTCACATTCGATTCAGCAAAAAAAAAAAAAAAAAAAAAAACGTCTTTATATTGCTTAAAACTCACAGCAGTCTCTAGAATAACTGAAGTTAAGTTAGTTTTGTATCTTTACATTTTGTTCTCGCTGACATTCAACAGACGTGTCACGTCCATGAAACTATAAAAAGTACAAATCCCAATGTTGAGGATCCCCCCCCCCCCCCCCGTTGGTTGGTCTTTCTGGGTTTAGAAGGGGTCGGTGGATATACGGCTTTGGCAATAAATTCATAAATATGTGTAAAAACTGTTTTTCAACCTATGAAGAGTATGAAGACATGAGATAAAAAAGGACTATTTGATGCGGAAAACTAAATAATCGGAAACACATTATCCGTTTGTCTCATTCACTGATAATAAATTGGGATATGCGTGTCCCCCCCATCATGGGTTGCCATTTAACGTCAAAACTTCAATGTAGTTAAGTGTGAAGTGAAGCCGTACTTGTCGCTCCAGGCTCCGGTCCACTCCACTTCCCCCCACGGGTTCCTGATGCGGACCAGCTTGGTCATATTCCCTCTGTACGCCACCTGACGGCAACAATCACGTTATGTTCTGACGTCTGCATCAATCTTGTGACAATGAAATTAGAGATGCAGCTTCTATAACTCTTTCAGTAAAAATGCAATATTGCAACTGCAACTAAAAGTGAACTTTAATACCGTGCCACAGCAGCTCGTCTTAATCTTTTAGTTCTGTATGTAACTTTGTGATTTTATTCACTGTGTTGCTGCAAAAAAGTAACCACGCTGCCACCGCTCACCTCGTCCACGCCGGTCAAAGAGTAGGCGTGGCCCTTCACCAGCTTCTTGAACGTGACCGCCTCCCTGTCTGTCGAGCTGGTGATCTGAGGACGAGAGTAAAACGGAGGTTAGTGACGTCCGCCGCTCCGGTCAGGAGGGTGGTGACGGAGACGGGGAGCAAGTTGTCTGCATAGTGCTGCTCCACATGTGACAGGGTTGGAGACATCTGCAGTCACCGGCATAACGCGGCTCATTCATTAACATCAGCAAACATTATATGGCGAGAAATCCATTACGGTGATGCCCGTCACTGGCTGATTTAAAGGGACACGCAATAACTCAAACAAACTAATCAATTAAATCTTTGTTCTGCGAGGTAAAATTTATGTTTTTGTCAATGGAGTCTGGTAGCTTTGAGTGGTGGTTTCTTACATTCACATCATTTTCTTTAATCAACATTGTAACAAATGCAAACTAAAGGGTACATATTTCTGTTAGGGATGCTCTGTCTTCTTATTTAAACCTTGTCACAGTAAGAATGAATGTTTCGTCAGAAGCTCTTAGACTCTGTCGTCTTTAATCTTTGGTATTTGTCTTCTTCCATGTTTCCGTACAAAATGAGCTGAACAGGCAGTTCTTCCTCCCCAAACTCAGCAGCATTGATTACATAAAATGACCTTCAACGAGGCAGACACAAAGGGTTCAATCCCCTCAGTCTGTAAACACACAGTGTCCCGGAGGATTATGTTGAATTTCTGCCAGCTACCAACGCTTTAACCGCAAGCGTCCCAATCTTTACTGCCCTCTTCTGGTCACAGATCAAACTACCCACATTTTCCTCCCATTACCACAGCCTTTTCAAACTGCCCTATTTAAATTACCCTCAATTCACCCCCGCTCTGAGAGACTGAGAAGAGCTCTACAAGGGAAAAAATAAACAACAATTCTCTTTTCTTACAAACATTAAATATACTTTAAGAGACAGGCGCTAAAACGGAGCGTTTCGTACAGAAGGTGAATACAGGTATATAGAAACAAACAGTATGAGAAGAATTAGGCGTTTTTTTAATGCTAAAGCATTTAAGGGCATTCTAGCAGAAACCTAAAATACAAATATGTATCTGAAAATGAGCATGATATGTCCTCTTTAATGAATGATAGATCAGTTATTAAAGTTGCATTCGGATTAATATTTGATGTGTGAGGTTTTAAAAAGTGAGTGGAATGTAGTTAATTAATATAAGGCGCACTAGGACTAAAAAAGGTCGACTTCAGCTTCAGACTCTCTTCAACCTAAAGTTCCCACTACTTCAGCACTACTGATTAACCTGTAAATCCCACACAAGTTAAAGGAATAGTTTAACATTTTGGGTAAATGGTTATTTGCTTTTTTCCCCCAAAAGTAAGATGAGAAGATGGATAGCACTCTCATGTCTGTACGGTAGATATAACGCTAGCACAAGTAGCTTAGCTTAGCACAAAGACTGGTACCAGGGGGAAACAGCTAGCCTGGCACCTCTAAAGCTAAAGTAAAGGATGCATGGATGTGTCAGTACTGACGTCTATGGAGCAGCCCAGCAGGGATCCTCTGTCGATGGCCCTGCTGATGATGCTGTAGAGGTCGGGGGGGGCTTTCTTCAGCTCGAACATCTCCGTCACGCCGCCTGTAAAATCCTCGAAGCCCTCGCACGTGCTGCCTCCTGACAGGGCCTCATAACAGCCGTTCAGCCTGGGACACAACAAGAGATTAATGAAGGTTTGAATCCTTCAAAAGAGTATAAACATAAGTATTATGGAGTCAAATGTATGCACACTACCATAAATGAAGAAGTACCTACACTTAAGCAAATGTAACTGCATAAATCTTCCCTGTTCCAGCTGGGAAGCTTTCTTAACCTGTCACACACTTCCAGAAACAATGCTCCGCTTCACTTTTACAGCTAACCAGATTTACAACTTGAGACCACAGCTGTCAGCTGAAAACAGCTGCGGTGTCAAGTTGCTAAATAGCGCCGTCAGGGTTTCAAGTGTTTATCTGTCTTGTTCCTCACAGACTCTCCTACGTCCAGAAACTCTCCGGTCAAAGGCGTCTTTGTACGAAATCCTCGCAAACAACTTAAGAGTCTTCAATAAGCCTCAACGTGTGATCCTCTGACTGAGACTGGAACCTGAGCGGACCCATGTTGAGGTCATGTTTATATCATGGTGGATTTAACATACATATGAGCCGCTAACTGGAATAAACTTGCAAGAACGTTCACTTTAGCCTCACAGCGCTCAACTGCTTTTGTTGGACGATATATTGACCCGGGTCAATATTGCGATAAACGATATTATTGTCATCTTAACACCTTTTTATGCCCCCGATATAATGATAACATAATAATGCAAGTACACCTTTTTAAAGGGTACACGTGTAAACACAACGGGCAATATGGAGGTCACGTCCCGGTATGGTACAACAAGTCGACAACGTAAAGACGTCCGTGGTCATCAATACGTCATCAACACTCGACTCAGAGCACATTACGTGTTCATTATGTCGGCCGGTCTTACTTGGCGTAGGCCTTCTCCAGCAGCGCGCTCCAGAACTCGGTCCCCTCTGCCGAGTGGACGAACAGCAGCTTCCCGTCCTTCACCGGCAGCCGGTCATCGATCACCACCTCCACCCACTCGCCAAACTGCCAGAACTGCATGACAGACAGAAAATAACAAAACACTGATACCACCTAAAGATACACAGCAATGTATAAAGTATAGTAGAAGGACAAAGACGAGTTAGATTATCACCTTTTATCAGGTGGCATTGAGGAGATATCTGAGCAATGCTGCAAGTCCAGCTTGCTTTTGTGTATCAACCCTGAATTAAATACAGAGACTAAAATAGCCAAAATTTAACTCCAGCACCCGAACAGACCATTTAAACATCTCCAAACCAGTCCTGCAAGCAAATCATTGCTTAGCAAGGCAAAGTAGCTGCACCGTGTTGCCCTGCTGTTCCTAACGGAAATCAATTCTTAGCACCGGAGAGCTTTCAGAGAACTTATATCCAGAAAAACAAACGAGAGAAGTCAAGACAAGTTTTGGTTTCGGGGGAAACTCCCTCTGCCGGTTTTGGAAAACATCTTTTAAATTTCTCCGACAAGACGATGAATCAGGGGACAAAACGAGGCTTTCAGTGCCGCAGGTGAACTGAGGTCACTGACAGCAAGGTGAGGTTCTCTGAGAGGTTTTCAGAGGAGAAGAAAAGCTTTCTGAATTCTTTTCCCACATTAGGCCTTAGCATGTGGCTGTGTGCCTGCTGGCCAGCAGGGAGCACAAGAGACCCAACATATGGTATATACTGTAAATAAATATCTATTGCTCTGTTACATCATTGATAAAAGCATCTGGAGCTTCTTTTATCAGAAGTAACATTTGACGGTTTTTGAACAATCATGTAAACCTGCATACAAAGTCTATGTTGTAATAATCTACTCTGTGCTGTTCAGACTTATCTTGTGCCTGATGTTCTGGCATCGAGGTGCGAGTTACATTCTGGAAATGTCACAAGGCTTCAAATAGACGTCTCCTTGAGACAACACCTACATTTCACAATACATCTTTTGCACTTCGCCGCTGCTTAAGGTGTGTTTTTCGCCGTTGGCTGTTTATGTAGACATGTTGAGAGAGTTTGTGCAACGAACAGCGAACAGGTCGACTCATACAGAAGACCTCGAGGCAGTCATGCAATAAACCTCATGCAAAAGAAGACAGTGTTGTTAGGGAAATATGTCTCTGTCAAAGTGATTACGTTTGAAGAAAAGAAAAAGAGGGGGAAGGAAGTTGCAGGGTTGTCATGAAAAAATAAGCAAATCAAAAGCCGCAGCTGGAGCGTGCATGCATGCGTGTACGTGTGAATTTACAGATTGCACTTCATGTCAGCATGCGTGTGCGTACAGACGGGAAGATGGACGGAGGAATTCTGCATGCTCTGCAGAGCTGAATCCACCTCTGGGAGGAGCTGTGTCATCAAACGGCAGACTGAAGACCACACACCCCCACACACACACACACGCTTGTTTGTGGCACACGCAACTTCGTCATTTTACTCTATCACACAGACACCGCTGAGTGTTTATCTCACAGCAATGTGGCAGCAACACTCGGCCTCACTGAGGGAAACGAACACCTCTGGCATGACTTAAAGGGGACTCATCATGCTCATTTTCATGTCCATACTTGTACGTATCTTTGGGATCTACTTGAACATGTTTACACGATTCAATGTTCAAAAAACACATTATTTTTTCCCACACTGTCTGTCTGAATATACTTGTATTCACCCTTTGTTTTAGCGCCTGTCTCTTTAAGTCCCGCCCCCCCCCCCCAACAACGCCCAGTCTGCTCGGATTGGCTTGCAAGAAAAATATGGTGCACCTCTTCAAAGGGTAGTTGTCAAACCGTGGGCTGTATATTCCAATGAGGCTGGACGTGTGGAGGCTTATTGAATCACATGTTTTCTGATCAAAGCAGCTCACAAACAAAACCACAACTGGGTTGTCTTTGATGTCCCCTTTCAAGCGTGAGAAATCCTCAACACAATTCAACAAACAGTTCAGTCTTTCTGTGTGAAACGCCTGCTATAATAAGAATATGATGAAAGATTCTGCCCCAGTTAAGGTTCATTCGTTTCCAACTGAGACGGCCGAGATTGCCCATTTTATAATTTATTCTCCCTCCCTTTGTTTGCCTGCCTCGCTCGCACAGACCCCCTCCTTCTCTGTCCTACTTCAATTAAGAGTCTCGCTGCGCTGCACTCATAATTACATTTTTGGGATGACTCATCCAGGTCTGGGTAATTTTTCCAGAGGCTTAGAGGACCAGAACTGATACAAAAGTTGGAAATCCCTGGAAGACTCGAACGCACACAAAAAGGGGATTGGAAACAGGCCCGGGCAAGAAAAGAAAAATGAGAAACTGCAAGTAATGGAAAAGCGCAGGCATGAAAACATTTATTGGCTGCAATACAAATGACGAAAGAACAACAGAGAACATGCAGGCATGATAGAAAAACAGGGCGATGAACGTAGAGCAGCCTTATGTATATCCAAGAGCCACTTCATGTATGTACGTTCAACACATGCATGCATTTACAAGACCTTCAGAGCAAATGAAAGTATTATCTCCACTCGCTCTAGCAGAGAGGAGAACAAGTACGCCTATAGCCGTAAAGAATGAAGACAGAGTCTCTGGAAATAATCAGTGAAGAAAACGGGTCAAATATAATAGTCATTGAGTCAGCAGCCCCCACTGTGTGTGTGTGTGTGTGTGTGTGTGTGTGTGTGTGATGGGATTCATTGATCCTCCGACACCAGATGAGTCAGCGCGGCAGCCTCCGGAGCTCTCAAGAAAACTGGGAAATCACCAAGACAGATGCTCCAGTTCTTGTCTTCAGGGTCAATGAATGGACTTCCCTACTATGCTATAGACTAACTTGTATCTGTGTGTGTGTGTGTGTCATGTTTTACATTGTAGGCCCGTTTCTACACATGTTCACACGCGTCTTTGATGTGCGGGAGCTTCCCCTCTGTTCCCCGGGTGGCTTCCTTGTTCCCTCTCTCCCTTGTTAACACTTGGCAGGCGAACAGTCGGGTCGGCAAAAACCTCCGCACTGCATCAAAGAGGGAAGCCGAGCCGGCTCGACGAGCTCTGTGACACAGCAGGTTGGGATGGCGTAAAAGCAACATTTGCACTAAAGAATATCATAAAAATAATAATATTAAATATTATTTTTTTACATTTCACACTATAGCAAAGAGCTGGCCATCACTACAGGCAATAGTTATTTCTACATGATAGATAATCAATAATTTAGCATTCAAATACATTACGGATCGGCTATAATATATTGCAAATTTAGTTGCGTGCACATCCACAAACCCTCAGTGGGACTACTTCCCTCTTGCAGACCTGCTCACCGACTGCAGCATACACGGGCTACTGGTGGGCCTGTGCTTTGTTATGCGTGAGTGTGTGTGTGTGTGTGTGTGTGTGTCTGGAGTATTTTGTGTATGAAGCAAAGTTCAGCTGATAAGGCCCGGCTCGCACCGCAGAGACGAAATAAATACAACACGTATTTTAAATTTAAGACACAAGGCAGCAGGACTGGTCCCTCAGGCAGGAGAGGCGATACTCGGCTACATTAGACACATCAGGGATCGGTTGTCAACAGTAGTTGTGTCCTCATAGACGTGACTGAAATTAAATCTCGCCTTCTATGTGCTGATAAAGACATGGAAAAACTCAGTTTTGACGGTGACTCAAACCCTCCCGAAGGTTAAGTTTATAGACCGACTGACTTGACTGGGTGTGGATCTGAGAGGTCAGTTATCTCGGGTGACTCAGTGAGGTTTAACAAAGCAGGAGATTATTGTTTTGACTGCTTATTCTTGCTGGGAAATCCTGGGGAGAGGCAGAATAAGGAAAAGAAACTCTTCACTCACTCACTGGTTCAACATATTAAAAACCACTGAGCAGGGAACTTCATATTAGGACTACAACCAAGTCGTTCACAGCAGCAGCGTTTCTGCTTCAAAGAAAAATCTCAGCCGAACGTGACAACGGTTCGCTCGTAGCGGATCAGTGCGATGTGGAACACGGCTACGTGGTGCAAAGATGCAACAAAATAAGCTTTTGAACCAAACGAAAACAAACTATCTTTTTCGATTTCACGCACACAGTTTGCACAGACGGTGGTGCACATAACAGGAAATGACACAACAGCAGAAACGCACCACAGGAAGTGAGCTGGCACATACGTTCTGGAACCCAAATCCAAAAGTCTCGACTTCCCCAAAATAGCAGTCAGTCCTCAGTTCAGGGTTTGATAAGAATATAGTATTATTATGAATAGGGTTATTCTACTTTGCATGACATCTATCTCTGCTATACTAAAAGCAGCAGACCCTGCGATATGTTAGCAATACGTTGCAGAAACTGCCAAAATGAGACAATGGGCCCCCGGGCACAGACATGCAAAAGGCCCCTGGTGGCCTAGTGCCCAAGCAGACATGAGGTTATGACAGAAGTCTATGAGAGAGCTGTCAGCTGTGTTCTCTCCTTAAACACGTATGTGTGTAAATGCAGGACGTGAAGCTGTTACCTGGAAGTGAAAGATGCCAGCATAGCCCAGCTGGAAGCCCTGTCCGTGAGGAACCACTCGGTGGAGGAGGTTTTCGTTTAAGGTCAGCGAGGCGATGGCTGCCAGCAGCCAGCAGTCCCCTGAGGACACACACACACACACACACATAGTTTTAGTACCCGGGATCAGCCCTGAATGCCAACATCTACCATACTATATTTGAATGACAAATGACAGCAGGATATTTATGTGAAACAGGTGTTTAGAAGAGAATCCTAACTACATACTAACTCATTCATGCTGCTGAGAGAAAGTTTGAATGCACTTTGAGGCTCAGGGAGAAAGAAACTCATAAAAACGTCCCCATTAACAGCTCAGTAAAGACAAGAGACCTGAGCTATGTTTGAACAAGCTTTTGTCTGCCGGGAAAATGGGAGGGGCCCTTGTTCCACTGGACTTCAGAGAGGGTGTGAAACTACCACGGCTCCACATTAAGTCACCGATGTCGTTAGTGGGAATCACACCGTGGGTTTCGAGTCACAGCTTCTGTTATGATGCACTGTGTCGCAAAAGTTTCTCGGTTAGAGTTCAGGAACACTCTGACTGACATCTTGGTTTTACTCATGCAGGCAAGGTTGTGACTCTTCTTGATACTTTCTGTTGCATTACAATGAGTGCTTCCTCTCTTGATGCTGGGAAACGACACACAGTAATAATCATAAAAAGAAAGCACAGGGCGTTTCACTTTTATGTCAACATATATATATAATATATAAGCAGCCCCTGATAGCAGCCGGTGTGTCGTCTAACAGATAAAGACGTCTCCTTCGTGGTGCATTCGGGCTGTAAAACAAAGCGAAGCATCGTGTCTTCTAGTTCAACATTTTATTTGGGGTTGTTGTTTTGCAATCCAGCTGCTCCTGAGGGAGTGAGGGGGGCGGACCGGGTAAAGAATTGCATTCGGCGGCAGCGGGAGTTGCTTCCTGCGCTGCCAGAGCCACTCAGAACAGAGGCAGGGTGGCCTTGTTTACAGATGTGAGGCAGAGACATGAATTATAGATGGAGCTCTGTGTCGAGCAGGAAACATCTCTGGCAATTTAAACCGACTGTTAGCGGTCCGTCTCCATCGGTCACTCGTGACCTCGTTCGGTTTGCTCTGTTTGGTAGCTGATTTAGTGTTTTCAGCCTCTGTTGCTTCACTTTTCTAAACATCTGTCAAGTCCCCAAACTGCATGGTAGGGCAATTAGAAATGGCCAGAGTGCTCCTTTAATTTCACCTCACGCTCTTGAGGAAGACAACTTGTCAAAAGGTTGTATCAGAAGGAATTTGGAGTGGCATTTGGTGCCTATAATAAACATATTATGAGGGAGTAAAAATTACAATACAAATATGAAAAACACTATAAAAAAGTATGTAGAATATAAAACGAGAGAGCTGTACATTTGTGTGCAGGATGTGTAAAAACATCAAAGAGGGGATTTGTAAATGTTTACAGTATGAAGTATTAACACAATGTGTGCAATGTGCAGAGACATTAGCCCAAAAGCTGTGAAGACGTTAATGTAACATCATAGTATCACAACTTGTGTCAGTCGGATAATAGTTCATCGTTTCATTAAGGGAATATCATATTTTATTGTGGGGGATTATGTTGCCTGTGGTTCTGGAGGGAGATGAAAGCTTCACTTATTCATGTCCTACATCCAGACTTGGGATTAGAACCTGGCAAGCCTCCAGTCAATCACCTGTTTATTTTGGCTTCTTTCTACCAGATTTCTCTCCTCTCCTGTCCTCTACTAGCTGAATCATGCCGCAGTAGTGAAACAGATGGGAACTCTCTTACCCAGAGCTCCCTGACAGATGTCTGTGCGAGTAGCTCCATCTACGATGAACTCGGGGCGCTTGCAAAACTCCTGTAAAGTGGAGAAAACACATTATTTACAGTATGTTACATTTTCTGTCTTTCTCGTGCCGAGTGGGTCGACTATAGGGCCTAATCCATAGAAAGTACACAATGCAGGCTTTATTCAGGTTTCAACAAGTCAAAGTGCTTTTGAAAAACCTCCAGTGCCATTAGAAGTAGAATATGATTTAAGGAATATTGTCAGAGACCCGATGGGGTTTCATAGAAAGACCTGAAGCAGGGACGAAGAGATTATGGTTTTAGAAGCGGTCACCGCAGTTGTAGCGACAGTTTCTAGCAAGGCGAGCATGATATTCATATCCCCAAAAAGCTGGTCACTTTTGGTTTTGCTTCCGTTTGACGCTGGCGCAGAAATCTGGCCACCCGACATCAAAACGTCTGAGATGTCATCGTTGTTGGTCAAGAAAAAGCTCCTAAAACCACAACGGCTCACGTATTTTCCTGCTTTGTAAACCGTCTTCGTCTCAGCATGCTGAGCGTGAGAAACCCCACACAACACACGAAGCTATAAAAAGAAATATTCCATTTATTCTTGTGCCCCACAAAGACACACACAGACACGCACACAGACACACCATCAGGCACATGGTTGAATTCACATACACACTCTCTCCTTCGGGTTCACACAGAGCACAGATTTTCTGGGGGGGGGGGGGGGATGAGAACACCACCGACCCTCTTATCCTTATGCAAAGGATAAATATTACAGATCCCCTCGGCGCATGCATTATACAATGTCAGACTTTTTTTGGGGAGAAAACGAGACCCCGGGAAGCATTAGAGCACACGGCGGCTCCCACACACTCAAAACTGAAGAGAGGAGCTAACACGATCACGACCCGGAGAGCTTTTTTTAAGATCCCGACTTCGTCTCGCTGCTCTTTTTCTGCAGCGGCCTGTCACGGTATGAGCAAATCAAACAGTAATGAGAGAGAGTGTGCCGTCTTCAGGGCTGCCTTGATAACACCCAATGAAGACAGCACCCACTTTGTTCTCTGGTGTCACACTCGGCTTCAGGGAGCACCCTGATGTATTTATGATGTAAAGAGCAGTGATGAGAGACCGAGACAGGCTAGCGGGGAAGGATTTTAGGTCTGGGGAGAAACATGAATGGATTAAAAAAAGAAGTAGGATGAGAAAGAAACCTCTCTGAGACACTTGCAAACTCCCGACTGGTGTTGCGGCAACATTAAGATGATATCAACCAATCACTCCTGAGAGAAAGTTTAGTTGCCAAGCAACAGATGAAATTAAAGTCTGTGAGGAAATGTTGCGTCGGTTAAAAAAATATTACAGCAGGTAATAAAATAAAGAATGGATATTCAGTCATTATGTGCTCACTCCTGGAGGCATCAGTCAACGTCTGATGGACATCAAATCTCTCTCCAAAACTCGTCCAGTTAAAGGACATCTGTATGTTTTTGCACGTGTAAAAGCAAACTAAAAAGGAAACAAAGATATGTAAATGTTGGGAAATAAATCCCATACATTTCATAGCTTCTTGCATTAAAAAGGTTGTCGTTTCCAACAGCACTTGAACACACCAACAGGCGAGGCTTCTAATGAAGCCGAGGTGGATGTGTGACCAGACAAAGAAAATGTAACTTTGACATAAAATAACTAAATTGTTTTGATGGAAGTGTTTTATATTTATATATTTGAACATGCAGCTAGCTGGAAAATGCATGTTATTTAATCTCAAAATAGGAATTGTTCTTTGCAAAAAGGTCTTAAATGTTAAGTATGTTTCAAGTGTACATGTGATTAGTAATTAATAGGTTAAACAAACAATAAAAATGGTCCCTTGGCCAGAGTATATGTTTGTTTTGTATCTGTAGTTTGAGTATTTACCAGATTATCTCTGATATTTCCATGCATGTCATGCTTTGACAGAACTATACACACTACTGCAGGGTGTATTAAGTATGATCTTTTGGAGATTTAAAGGCACAGCCCTGTAAAGTTGATGTCAATAATCTGTGAGAACATCACTATGTCTGATGGTCCTGCAAACTTTGATGCGGATTTCGGGATGAACATTTACAATGATTGTAACAATGATTGTTTTGTAGATTCAAAAGTCTGAGTCAACAACACCCCCCCCCCCACCCCTCCCTTTCTCACCGTGGGCCTCATCCAGCGGACTCCGGAGGTCTTGGAGGACTTCGGGCCGAGCTCGTTGAATCCCAGAGACGATGCAGAGCAAGAGAACAAGTTATCCTCAAACATCTTCCGACCCTGGAGGCACTGGGCCTTCAGATTCTCGTAGTCCTGACCCAGAAACTTCACCGCCTTGTGAACCTGTCCCAGGCCTTCGTCGCGATCCCACTGGCTCCTCAGCTTGGCGGCCATGCCCGTCGCATAAATGTGCTCCTCCATCCTGAGCTCGGCGAGTACACCGCAGGGTCAGCTGTCACTCTCTGTTTGTATGTGCGGAACTACAATAAGATGTTACGGTGCGTCAGTAATTAATGAGGCAACTGTGACCTGCTCTAGCTACAGTTTGGATTGAAAGTGCTGCAGCAGAGCTGATGTAAATCTGCTATGAAATGTGGTAATGGCTTCAAGGCTGAATCATATATCAGAATAAAACATCAGTGGCCATTAGGAAGCTGTAAAACATTGACTGGCCCGCTGCTTGATTGCGGTACTTGTGGTCGTGCTGTAGCTGGATGCTTCAAAATGCAATAACAATCACAAGTGAAGGGGGGCTCGTAATGCAGAAGCTTCACGGTCTCTGGAGAGAGAGACGTCCTCCTCAGATGTTGTCCCAGTGAGCACCAGTCACAGTTTGTTGCTATCCGGGTTTTTTTTTTAAGTCCTTCCTTCTCCCACCAGCAGGTAAACCCTAAAAGAAAAAAAGTTGAAATGAGATCCTGAGAGTATTCAGAGATGAAATCCCACATAGCTCTATACATACCTGTGCATGCAACACAGACAAAAGCAGCAGCTATACACGCTCTGTGCATACATTCAGGGTTTAGACAGGCAAATGTGCCCTGCCCATTTCTTTTCAGTCAACCATACACACACACACACACACACACACACACACATGCATAGCAGAGGGATTAATCACAAAGGGCTCATCCGGGCTACTTCTACCGTGTGGCTGCAGTGAATGTGTTCACAGTGTCAGTCAGACATGTTTGATGTTTAATCAAACATCAAACAGTTGATGTTTAATCCAACGAGGTGTATTAACGAAGTGGTGTGTGTGTGTGTGTGGGGGGGGGGATTTATTGTGCAAAGTGCTAACAGAGGGTGTGGTTTTTGTGTGAATCTTGATGCACAATGAAGGCAGCGCGAGGCCCAGAACAAGCAAATGCTCTCTCCGACTCTTCAATGGAGCAGAGACAGGGACGAGAAAGTGTAAACTGCCGTTAGTGCCACCGAAGCTCTTGACAGAACTGGAGCTTCTGACACGGTTCATCTCAGTTCGCTCCATCTTGCTTTGCTTCTTTCCCGTCTCTTCACTTTTCTTCCAACAGAGAAACAGATGGTTGATTATTACAGTGAATATCAAGTGTATTTTAAGGCTGTCCTCGTGCATGGCTCACACAAATAAGCATGCAGTCCTTGGTGGCGGGTGTGGTCCCTGAGAGGAGATCCAGTGTCCAGCTGTCAGGACTGCAACTTTCTTCAAGTTGACCAACGCGAACAGCTGGGCGCAAACCCCGTTTCGTTTCACCCTCCCTCTCATCGGACACGGTATCCGTGTACAGTACGCGCAGAGAAAAACGCACGCGATCATTTTTAGATTGATTTTACGCGCAAGTAATCGGGCAGATTTCATGGTGTGTTTTTGATGGTGTCGCCAAAGTTGTAAAAGCGAAAGCGAGGAGTTTGCTCTACGTGATTGGTTACAGTTTTCACAACACGACTTACAAACTTACAAAATCTTCTCGTGAAAAAAAGACAGGAGAAAAAAAAAGTTCGGGCTCGGACGTCAAAAGGCATTTTTAGATATATGCATCTGGCTGCAGCGCGACGCAAACTGCAGACGCACAGTGAAATCAGTGCTATTGAAGGGATTGTATATTTACCTTGCCGGATGTTTTCCTATAGAAGGCAGTTTATTTAGACATTCAATATCCAGTTTAGCTTTCCTTCCATGTTTGTTGAAGGTCCAACCCCTCCCCTGCTCTCTCTACCAGCGCGTATTATTTAGAACCAAACGCCCTGCTGCCTGTTCTCTGAACAGGATTTAATGTGCACCCTTCACACTGCGTCTGCGCAATATCCGCTAGTCATAAAAGCCCACTACACTGGAAGGGAGGGCTTTATACACTCTGTGCTTTCGTGCACTGTAGTTTTTTTGGCACAGATCACACAGTGCTAGATAGAGAAGTTCAATCTCTTTGGGGTGGATTTATATGAACTGTAGGGACCTTTTATGACTTATTGTGAATTATTATTGGAGTTAATGCCTCCGAATGTAGCCTTGCCCTTTTTAGTGCTGGGATGTCATGTCCTTATGAATTTAAGTATAATTTTGAAGTTTACTTACATGTTAAACCCCTTTTAACTTAATTTCAAGTGATATATTTGTTGCTTTTGCTCCACAACATGTATCCGACTGCTGCAACCAGTAGGCCTTTTTTCATCACCTAATTAATTATTATAGACTATATTCTCAAACTTCCCAACAGTAGGTGACATAGTTAGGTCAATCTCGACCAGATGCAAAATCATATATATTAAAGCACTAGTAATAACAATCCCCTCCACCCATAATAATATATACTAACTCAATACTTCATAATGGGTACTTACTTTGGAAACTTTAAGTGTATTTTTTCTGATACTTTTCAATTGAGTAGGCCTGCATTTTAAATTGTGGTATTGCTACTTTTATTTAAGTAATACATCTAAATACTTGTTTTCGTTTTTTTATAATAAATCTTTTATTTAAACTATTTAAACAAGATTCAAGCTGTCAACAAGGACATCTAGAGGCTACATTTAGTAAATGCGACGTTCATCCTTTCGGACTACATATCCCAGCAGGGAGTGCGGCTGGATGCCTCCCGTCATGCTTTGCACTCGTCCGGTTCTGCGCCGCTCGCGTGTCCTCCGCAACCGCCGTTGTCCCCATTGAGAGAACCTGAACATGGCATCCGACGGACCGCCGGGCACCGAATCCCTCCCGTCCGATTTAGGCAGTGCTATCGCGGCACTGAACACATGGAGCCACCCGGAGCTTCACGCCAAGCTGGCGGAGCTGGGAGCACCCACGATGGGTAAGATAAGACCGGGAAAAAGGAGAGCGCACTGGAGGAAAGGACTGTGTTTAGCTAACAGTAGCTAGTCAGTTGCTAACGCTAGCTAGCAAAACGTAACACTTCCGCTGCTGTTAGCTAAAGTTAGGCCCGCGGTGTGTTTACACTCTTTGACATGTACGTTAACTATCTAATGCAGGCAATTTAACATCACCAATACAACGTGTTTAAAGCAGCACTAACAGCACATACCTGGTCCCGTAGGTAAGTAGCCCATTGAGTTAACCGTTAGCTTACTAGCTATCTTCAATGAAGTATCATGTAGCACTTGTCAGAATTAACGTTAGCTGACTTCTCTGTTAGTCCGTTTAGGGTTGAAGGGGCTTAACTAGTGTGCAGACACAGCTTACATTCATAGAAGTGTCGGTGCATTGTTATACACTCTGCATTTCTTCCTTGAAATAAGTCTTTTGTCATTCTTCAGGTCCCAGAGAGGAGCTGATGGACAGACTGAAGGGGTACATGATTCAGGTAAATGGAACTAAGTACAACTGCAGCCTGAGCATGTCGCTCATCAAGTCTTCAGCACTAAAGTATTCACCCATTTGTTTGTGTTTCTCTCTGTAGACTGGGATCCTCCTCAGCAAACCTAACGATGATAAATCAATGGGCTCGCAGGTAAATGTCACATATCAAATGGAAAATGTGTTTTTTTTTATAATATGTACATTGCGTTTTATCATGCACTATTTTCTCACATTGCTCTTTTGTTTGTTTGTAAGTGGAAATATAGTTAGTGTGTATTAACACCTAATGTATATTCAAATCGTGTGACATATTTGCAAATAGCACCCTATTTTGATTTGTAATGATAGCACTATTATTCCACCCTTAAAGGAAGACCCTTCAGTTAGTTTGTACATTTATGCCAAATACAATTTAAAATTTGTATTTTATACTAACCGCCGGGTCTCAATGTGAGTTCACTTCATACCTCTCATTCTCCTCCTGTGTTTCCTCCTCTCCAGATGCAAGGAATCCCTCCCATGCCCCCGATGCCCATGCCCCCCATGCCTCCTGGTATTGGCATGCTCCAGGCCATGAGCATGATGCCCGGGGGGCCCCCGCCGCCTGGCATCCACATGGGCATGGAGCCCCCGGGTTTGCCCCCTCCCGGCCTATCGCAGGACGATCAGCTGAAGATGGCCCAGCACAGAGCGGCCATGGTGTTGCAGCAGGAGGAGAGAGCCAAGCAGCAGGTGACGTTTACGGTCTGTGTAATCCACTTGTTGCTTTCAGCTTTCCCTCTCAAGCACAAACACAACACTGAGATGCAAGCTGCTTAAATCCCTCCCTCAAAGCAAGGAACACAAAATATCTGCTTTGTAGAATCTGACAGGAACCACAGCAGCTCCTGCCACACTTTCCTGTCTGACAGTCACTGCAGAGCAGACAGAAGATACTGTGACGTGACTTTTGGTCTGACTGTTGCTCAGACATTCGTTGATTCTGTGTATCACAGGGTGAGTCCCGCGTCATGGGTGAACAGGATCTCCTGGAGCAGAAAGTGGTGAGACGATGGAGATAGTCCACCTCGTCAGATAGAGCTTCCCGTAGGATTTAGAGATTTGGTCAAATGTAACAAAGACTCTTAGGAAGGAGGTGTTGTGCATTTCCAAATTGTGTAACCATTTAAAAATAATCACCTCATAACCATTAGGGCGCATCCTTCTCTCCTTTAGATTCCTCGATTCTCCTCCTTTTCTTTAACTTCTGTATGTTAAGTCTCTTCTCCTTTTTCCCTGTTCATCAGGCTGCAGTGATGATGGAACAGGAGATGGTTAAGATGCACCAGGGGCCCAGAGGCATGCCTCCTATGGGCCCAGTGAGAGGTATGTTGGTAATATGGTGTTTGTTTAGATTTCTTATTCCTGCTGCACGTCTTATACCACGTCTGGTGTGACTAGTCACATAGTTGGTGAGGTTTTATCACCTGCAATCTGTCTCTTTGCAGGTATGGATCCACGTGGGCCGCTGCCTCCTGGTGTCAGCATGATGCCGACCCAAAAACAGAGAGTGCCGCCTCCTCCAGGAGAAGATAACAGAGAGGTAGGCAGACAGCTGGGAAATAGATGGGCATTATCTTTAGAATCAATGCAAATTTCTAGTTTTTGTTGTTTTTCAGGGACTTGGCTCTCTCATTGATTGATAGCGGGAGACTACCTGTGCTACATTCTTAGTCACGAGTCTTTTTGCTTCCATTCCAGGTGTGGCAGAGCGAGGAGGTAAGCGTCAGCGGGCCCAAGATCCCTCAAGCTCTGGAGAAGATCCTCCAGCTGAAGGAGATCCGACAGGAGCAGCTCACCGACCCCGCAGGTCAGTACAGCTGCTCCTCAATGTTTCACTGCAATATGTGTCCACTGGGATGCAGTAGCGTCTGGTTTTCTAATCCGATTCGTCTGTTTCTGTTCTCTTCCTGTCCGAAGAAGAAGAAGATGATGAGGGAGCAGAGGTGGACATGAACAACTCCTCCGCACCGGTCATGTCTGAGACAGAAGACGATGACAGTCAGATATCTAAGAAAGATGTAAGTCTGTTTATCTGTCCCGTAGTACCGCTGTACTTGTGATACATCAGTTGTTTGGTGTCGCTACTAATTCACTTTTGCGAAAACAAAACCTAAACTGAATGCACATTTATATATCTGATTGTACTGCCTGTGTTGTTAATACTTAAGTGCATAATAATGCAGAAAGACGTTTTTCATAAATGTTCTTTAAACTCCAATTTTTGTTAATTTCCTTTCAGAAGAACCGCAAACGCAGAAACCGCAAGAAGAAGAGTAAGAAGAAGCGAGCCCTGGAGAAGAAGGAGCAGGCGGAGCAGCAGCAGGAGAAGAAGGAGGGCAGCGACAAGGAGAAGGAGAAAGACAAAGACAAGGAGAAAGAGAAGGAGAAAGAGCCCGAGGTGGAGATCGAGTACATCACAGAGGAGCCGGAGATCTACGACCCCAACTACATCTTCTTCAAGAGGATCTTCGATGCGTTCAAGGTGGCTACGCAGCACTGTTAGCTTTCTTTCCGCAGGCAAAGAGGGTTCATGTTGCTTTCCTGTGTGTTATGTCATTTGCTTTTGTTTTGCTGTAATGAATACGTCTCCTTGTCTCTAGCTGACCGATGATGTGAAGAAAGAGAAGGAGAAGGAGCCCGAGAAGACGGAGAAGACGGAGACGGCCGTGCTGCGGAAAAAGGGCTTCGAGGACGAGAAGCTAGACAGCGACGACAGCGACGATGTATGGATCCTTCCTTCTGTCGTGGAAATAGAAAAGAATAAATCAAAGTCCTGTTGGTTGACATGTCAGTATTTCAAATGTTTTTCATGTGCAGGATATGAGGCCAGATGTACCAAAACTCTCAAAGAAGAAGCTGAGGAGGATGAACAGGCTGACTGTGGCTGAACTCAAACAGGTGCATGAAGGCTAGTAGTCATTAGTGCTATTCAAGGTTTATGTATTATTATTAACCCTTTCATTTCTCTTCCTGTGTCTCTGCTCCAGCTGGTGGCTCGTCCAGATGTGGTGGAGATGCACGACGTGACGGCCCACGAGCCCAAGCTGCTGGTCCACCTGAAGGCCACCAGGAACACGGTGCCCGTGCCCCGCCACTGGTGCTTCAAGAGAAAGTACCTGCAGGGCAAGAGGGGTATTGAGAAGCCCCCGTTCGAGCTGCCCGAGTTCATCAAGAAGACGGGGATCCAGGAGATGAGGGAGGCCCTGCAGGAGAAGGTGGGAGTTACAGTCCTTCATTTGAGAAGAACCAGAGGTGAAATTCAGACGCGGCGTCTTCATTTTTGTTTGTTTTCCGCTCACAGGAGGACGCCAAAACCATGAAAACCAAAATGAGGGAGAAGGTTCGTCCCAAGATGGGAAAGATCGACATCGACTACCAGAAGCTCCACGACGCCTTCTTCAAATGGCAGATCAAG